AGACTGGCGATGCGTGTGACACAAGACTGCCTGATTTGGTGCAGGCAGTCTTTCAAGAGCTGGGTGCGACGGATGTGCTACCTTTATGTGGCGGTCAAGCCACGGTCACCCTGGAGGTAGACAAACAAGTCTGCTAAAGGCTGGGAGGGACGCCTGGACTTCGAAGAGAAAACAACGGAATGAAAGCACAAACTGGAACAGTCACACCACTTAGCCCTTTGGATGCATTTGGAGCATTTGGATGCCTTTTTCTACGCGATACATCGACAGCGACCAGGACCAGCGTGACCAGCAAATCCCACAACCGAATGCTCGGTTTTGGAAGACGTTGGAATCTGAGAGCAACTTACTGATTTGTTGGTCATTCCACGAGTCCTGTAAATCAGAGTCGTCATCACTTTTAGATAGATGTTTGGGACGGGGATAGCTCCTTTCAATCAGGATGTTTGAACAACAGTTTGCTCCAAATGAACATCGATGGTATGTCGTTGGCCTCGCTGAAGCCATGGCATTGTCTCATTTTGGGTGTCAGACTGAAAAGGTGTGGACCACGCCAGCCACAGCTTTACTGTACAGATTTGGCAATGAATCTTAATTATTCGACAGAAGTGCCGGTAAATATATATATATATTATATTGCTTCGAAATTGCAACAAAATCATTCAAAACAAGCTCATCGCCGAGCCGCTCTTCCTCATGCATAAGCACTGGCACGTTTCACCTTTTTCAACTTTTGCCTCGCATCATTTTGCGACTTCCCAAAGTGGAGGGAGGCAGGCCGAGGGTGGTGCTGGGTCAGTGATGGTGGATGTGGACACTATGTTTGTGTGATTGGAGGTAAACAAGCCAACTGCTCTTTGTAGCCTTTATTTGCCTTCAAAAAAAGATATAGCCATCGCATGCCATAGATTAGATCAGTTTAAGATCACAGAGGAAGAAATCCTTTGGTTTTGATGGCAAGAACCTGCATTCAGCCTTTATCGCATCCCCAAATCACAGGGATTGCTCATTGCTGGACACGATTTGCATATTTGTGTTCCAGCCTGGCTTACACGGTTTGATCAGGTCTTCATGGCCGGAAGCCAGGCCGGGGGAAGCCAGGTGCCTTGCCCGTGGAAGTTTGCCAAACGCGCGCGCGCGCGCAACGCCGGACCAGCAAGACTAGTCAGACTGCCGGAACCAAACTGCACCGGACAAGTGTTTTTCAGTTGCGATGTGTTGTGCAAGAGCAGCATGCAGGTGACACACAAAGCTGCCAGCTGTCGACAAGGACAGCCATCAGCTTTGGTGTTTTTGCTTGGCCTCTTGCAGTCAAAAGTGTGCCCACATGAATCCAGATGCCAGACTTTGCTTTGCACCAATTAGCACAAAGGGATGGTGTCAGTTTGTTGTTTTTGCTTTTGTTTTGCATACTCCAACAACGGCCGCTGCCGCTGCTAGTGTCTCTCAAGCAAACAAATAGCAGCGCTTTTCAGATCTGGAGATCAGGAAGCATGTCTGCTCCTTC